ACATGCATCATTACCAAATTCCCTTCATCCTCTAAAATTAAGTAATGTTTTACATGCACCAAAACTCATAAAAAATATTATCTATGTTCGTAAATTTACCATAGATAATGATGTGTCGGTTGAATTTGATCCTTTTGGTTTTTCTGTGAAGGATTTTCAGACAGGAATACTGTTAATGAAATGTAACAGTTCTAGTGACCTCTATCCCATTGCCACAAGACCACCTAATAAAACCTTGCCACCATCCACCTTTGCCGCGTTATCCACAGAATTATGGCACAACCGTTTAGGACATCCAGGAGCTACTATCTTAAGTTCTCTACACCGAGACAACTTTCTCCAATGTAATAAGTCTCAGAACAATTACTTTTGTAATTCATGTCCTCTTGGAAAAAAAATTGCATTTTTATAGCTTTATGTCTCATACTTTTATGCCTTTTGATATTGTGCACAGTGACCTCTGGACTTCACCAATTCTTAGTTCAGAAGCTAATCGTTACTATGTGTTGTTTCTTGATGATTACACAATTTTTTATGGCCTTTTCCAATTCATACAAAATCTCAAGTTTCTTCCATTTTTCTTCAATTTAGAACTCACATTGAAACACAATTTGAAAGAAAAATTAAATGTTCCCAATGTGACAACGGTAAAGAATATGATAACTCTATGTTTCATAAATTTTGTAAAACAAATGGAATGTCATTTAGATTTTCGTGTCCTCACACCTCCTCACAAAATGGAAAAGCCGAAAGAAAGATTTGTATCATAAACAAGATCATCTGTACCCTTCTTTCATGTGCCTCTTTACCTCCATCAATGTGGCATCATGCACTACACATGGCCACTTACCTACATAATATCCTTCCAAATAAAAAGTTTTCCCTACAGTCACCCACTAAAATACTCTACCAAAAAGATCCAGCCTATACTCACCTTCGTATCTTTGGATGTCTTTGATACTCTCTCATGCATTCATCGTATAGGAATAAGTTACAAGCTCGGTCCACACCTTGTGTCTTCTTAGGATATCCTTCAAATCATAGAGGATACAAATGCTATGATTTATCTAGCCGTAAAATATTTATTTCCCGGCATGTCACTTTTTATGAAACTAAGCTTCCATTTTCTAATCTAAATGTTCCTATAATGGTTGGCTATAATTTTTTGGATGACGATGCACCCTTCCTTCCATCCTATTCCTATAGTGCTCCACCCTCTAACTGTCAAAATCATACTCCACGCTTAACTACACCAGTTCAAACAAACATTTACCAGTCATCACCATCTTCTTTTAATTCGCCTCCGCCACCCTCCCACAATCACACCTCCCCAACCATAACATCATCCCCATCCACAATATCACCTCTAAACCCATAATTACCAACTATCGTCTCATCCCCATCCACTACATCAGTTCCGACTCCTCCACCTTCACAATAAAAATTGCCTCTCTCCCCTTAAATGACAACCAGAGCCCGACACGATATTGTCAAACCTTGCAAACTTTTCAATCTCCATACCTCAACCTCAACCTCCATATCCCCTCTACCTATAAATCCCATTGATACATTAAATGATCAAAATTGGAAAATGGCCATGAAAGACGAATATGATGCTCTTATTGAAAATAAGACGTGGGACTTAGTTCCTCGTCCGTCTAATGTTAATGTTATTCAAAGTTTGTGGATTTTCAGGCATAAAAAGAAATATAGCGGATCCTTTGAGAGATACAAAGCTCGCCTTGTAGGTAATGGTGCAAATCAACAAACGGGTGTTGATTGTGGTGACACATTCAGCCCGGTGGTCAAACTGGCTACCATTTGAACGATTTTAAGTGTTGCTTTATCTGAATCATGGTGTCTTCATCAATTAGATGTTAAAAATGCTTTCTTGCATGGGAATCTTCATGAAACAGTATACATGCATCAACCTCCTGGATTTCATAATTCTCAATTTCCTGATCATGTTTGTTTATTGAAGAAATCTCTATATGGTCTCAAACAAGCACCTCGCACCTGGTACAAGCGCTTTACTAGTTATGTAGCTACAATGGGTTTCTCTCACAGTATTTCGGACCACTCTCTTTTTATATATCGTTATGGCAATGACATAACTAATATTCTTCTGTATGTGGATGACATTATTCTTGTTGTATCATCTGACGCTCTTAGAGAATCTATTATGTAACAACTGAGTTATGAATTCTCCATGAAGGATCTGGGACCTCTAAGTTATTTTCTGGGTATTTCTGTCACCCGACATCCCGAAGACCTTTTTCTTTCTCAAAAGAAATATGCAGAAGAAATTATTGAATGAACCGGTATGTCCTCTTGCAAACCATCATCCACACCAGTAGACACAAAGGCGAAACTTAGTGGTTCATCCGGTAACCCTTACCATGATCCAACCAAATATTGTAGCCTTGCCGGAGCATTGTAATACTTGACGTTCACTCGACCAGACATCTCATATGCAGTTCAGCATGTGTGTTTATTTATGCATGATCCAAAAACTCAACACATGTCTGCCTTGAAACGCATTATTCGATACATTAATGGTACCATAGATTTCGGCCTCCATCTGTACCCTTCATCTGTCGACAAACCCATTTCTTACACAGACGCAGATTAGGCCAGTTGTCCAGACACAAGAAGATCTACCTTCGGCTACTGTGTTTATCTCGGTGACAACTTGATCTCATAGTCCATAAAACACCAACATACCTTGTCTCGTTCAAGTGCCGAAGCCGAATACAGAGGTGTAGCTAATGTTGTGTTTGAATCATGTTGCTTACGCAACTTACTCTTGGAACTATGTTGTCCTGTCACAAAAAGCTATTATGGTATATTGTGACAACATCAGTGCAGTTTATCTTTCTAAAAATCATGTTCAACATCAACGCACCAAACATATTGAAATGGATATGCATTTCGTGCGTGAGAAAGTTGCTTGCGGTCAAGTACGCGTTCTTCACATTCCCTCGCGTTTTCAAATTGTTGACATCTTCACAAAGGGACTTCTGTTGCAACTCTGTGATGACTTTCGTGATAGTCTCAACATTCATTCACTTCCAGTTTCGACTACGAGGGTGTATTAGATATGTAAATATAGAAAGATTATTATTAGTATTGGTTGCAAATGATTATTAGAATCATAACCACATAATCGTATTGTGTATATAAATGACTAACAGATCAATGAAAAGGCACGGCCTATACTCTCTTACATTGGACAATAAAACATGACTATTACACAAAGGCACAAGTACAAGTTCACATTATTCCTAATGACGAGAAATAATGATTTTATTTATCATAAACCATTGATATACCAACATCAACCTTCAAACATTAACAATATCAACCACATCAGTGCAACAGAAACTTGTATCAGATGAAAAACCAAAACAGATATGAGTAGGAAACTCAGTAGTAGAACCAACAACAACAAACTAGTGCAGATTTGAGTAGGCAACAACACAAGAAGATAGAACAAAAAACTTAAAAATCAAAACGTTAGAAGCAGATCTATACAAATCTCTACAAAACCCAAAAATCTGCAATCACTTCTAGATCGCCATTTGCCGAATATGCAATAAATCAAACTAAGATAACAGATCGGGATTTTAGGATGAACAAAAAAAATATTAAAAAATATAAGATCAAGAAGAATGAAGATGAAGGACAAACCACCTTAAAACTTTGTGGTTTTTCGGAGAGAGAAGAGAGACAAGATGAAAGATAGAATGAGTTCGAGAGAGAGAAATAAGGGTTGGTGGAATCTTCAAATTGTTTAGTTTTAAGAGAGAAAAAAGTAGTATTGGTATCCGAAACCTGTAAAGGAATGAAAATCAGATAGTTGGTTTGAAACTACAACTTGGACAACCATGTGTTATTTGACTTAAACTAATAGAATTGATAGTTAATACACAACAATATATGTAAAAGTGTTAGTTTGGTTGTAAAAGATATATTTTGGACACAAAATACCCTCATATTAGTGATATGTCCATTTTAAGGGAATGACAAATTTTTGTATTATAAAATCTGATAAATAATCAATCCTATTCAGTCTAAAACAATATAGGTATTCAATGTATACCAAATTTAATTTTAACTATTTAAATAATTTTTCTTTTACTTTTACATAATATTAAAACTTTCAAATATAATATAATCATTAGATCATAGATATTTAGTAAATTAAATATTTAAATAATTTCTAAACAATGTCAAGTTTCCATCCAAGTTCACTGTTTTTTTAGATTAAATTAATGTGATAAAAAAAATTAATATTTAGTGTATTGTGTTTTTAAAAATAGACATAATTATATGTCCAAAACACTATTTCATTTGCCCAAAATTCTATGTCCAAAATCAAACACGAAAAGTTCTTAGATATGAACAATCATAAGAAAAGTTATATATAGTTAATCCCAATTTATTTATTAATAAAAAAATAAAAATAAGATTTTCTCTCTGGTTCATATCACAAGGTCTCTCATGATGTCAATTAAAAAAGAAATTAAATTTTAGTAAATTAAAATATTTTTTTATCATTTTTTATTAAATTTTTCTAAGAATATGAATTTAGATGCATTTCTGTACAAATATTTCTCCACTCTGACAAGCTTGCATCATCTTAACTCTATCTTTCAGTTTCTCAAAACTTACAAACCTAAACTTCTGTTCAAGACTAAGGTTAATAAGTGATCCACAAACACAAATTTCATTGCTATGTTCATCATGTTTGATGTCATTAAGAACATTAAAAAAAAAATTATGTTGGTATTAGGGCTCCTTTCCATGCATAGAAATAGCCATGACATGTTAAAGAATAGAGTCAATAAAAACGCCTTCATTTAAAAGACATTTGAATCACAACTTTGGCACCATTTTATTATAATCAAAGTAATAAAACAACTTGTGAGTATTCGAACAAGGTTGGTCTTATTTTAGCAAACAATAAGGTTATCACACGAAAAACTATGATGTTGCTGCTACTGCTTGAACTTGAACAATTGAATCAACTTGGTTAAATCAACAAATGAACTTCCATTTTGATCTTTGGCTTCCTTAGAACTTATTCTTGTCTTGAAAATCGTTTGTCTAATCTCGTCTCCTTTATCTGAGTCCATCAATTCTTTAATTCGGTCTCCCAATTCAGTTCCGCTCACAAACCCATCTTCAGACTTGTTCAGTTCCAAAGCCACCTTCATCTCTTTAACCAAAATTACTTTGTTGAGACTTTGTTCAGCATACAAAGGCCATGCCACCATAGGCACACTTTCACAAACTGCTTCTAACACCGAGTTCCATCCACAGTGAGTCACGAAGCCACCAACTGCATCATGACTCAATATTGCACCTTGTGGCGCCCAATTTCTTACCACCTTTCCATTTTCCTTTGTCCTTTCCAAAAATCCTTCTGGTAACAACTCGTCCAAACTGAGGTCTTCCGAGTCCAATTCACTTCTAACAATCCACAAGAATCTTTGCTCACTTTTTTCCAAACCAAGCGATATCTCTTTCAATTGAGCCTTCGAAAATCTCCCCATGCTCCCGAAACTTAACAACACGACACTTTGACTGGGTTGCAAGTCGAGCCAACGCAGACAGCCATTTTCATCTCCACCATAAGAAGATGTAATCAAAGGTCCAATAGATAAAATTGTAGGAGTAGTTCCATTAGGAACAAACAATCCTTTATTTAAAGATTCAATTGCTTTTCCTTCAATAGCCTCAAAAGTGTTGACGATAATCCCATCACTTTTTGTCATAGTTTTTGCTGATTCAAGCAAAACCTTGAATTCGTCACTCTCAGAATCCAATTCATCTGGGTAATCATCTGTAGTAAAATTGTTTGGTAAACCAGGAATTTGAAGTGGCATGTGAAGATCCTGAATAGGCATTTTAGCGTTTTCGTGAAGTGTTGGCAAATAGAGGAAAGTGGCTAATGCAATTGCACCCGAAGTGTAGTAAAAGTAAGTTGGAATTTGAAGGTTTGCAGTGATTTGATAGGCACTGTAGGTGAAGAAATCTAATACAACAGCTTTGAGGTTTGTGGTTTTGGAAATGGATTGAAGAATGTTGTCAACATGATGGTTGCTTTGGGGAGAGATTTCAAAGGTGATAAAATGTGTTAGAAGTGTTGTGGGGGATGAAATTGGAGGAATGTAATGGAAGTTGATGGAAGGAAATGCGGCTGAAACAGATGCTATGTATTGTTCTTGTGGCGAAAGGGGTGTGTGTTTGTTGTTGGGTGGTGTAAGAATGAGAATAGTGATGGAAAATGAAGGGTGGTGAGTTACTATGAGTTTGCCTAATTCAACCATAGACATTAAATGTCCACTACCTAGAGCAGGGTAAAGAACTATAGTGTCCTTCATGTTTGAGAATTTAAGCAGAAAGATGAATATTCTTTTGGAGTTAATTCAGTTGTGTAGTTAGAAGAAAGACAGGAAACAAGGTGTATTTAAGGGTACCTCATTTGACTCTCAGGTCTAAAAAGTTATGTTTTCTTAATTACTTAATATATTTAAAATTCAGTGAATCTCTTATTATAATTATGTCAATAATACAGAATAATAGATAAAATAGGAATATTATTAAAAAATGAAGAAAAAAATTATAAACAACCAAATTTATTGACTGTATCTTATTATCACAAATAAGATAATATTCATTTTAAGATAATATATTATCACAAATATATATACTTAAATTAATACCACGTGGGTCAATATCAATTAACTATTTTCAAATTATATTTTAATACGTAATAATTAATTATCTAATAGAATACAATTATTTCATTATTATTATTATTATTATTTATTATCCGTGTCTTGTTAAAAAAATATGTTTATTATATATTTAATAGACAAAATGTTAGTAATCTATATTAAATAAAAATTAAAGATATATGATGAATAAAGATAATAATATATATTCAAAGAATATTAATTATTAAATAATACTTTTTACCAAAATAATTATAAAATAATTATATTAAAAAAATCATAATTACTTAAATAATAATTTTCAAAAGAATACTTTGATAATACGAGTTTAATATTGTTTGACTAATGTGTAAACAATTCTTAAAATAACAATTATAGATTTTAATATTTTTTTAACTAATGCGTAAACAATTCTTAAAGTAATACTTTAATATTTTACAATGAAAATCATATTTTATAAAAAAATAGTTAAGTTTTGATATTGTTTAACAAATGTGTAAACAATTCTTAAAATATTTACATAAAAAGTTTATAGCATTTTTATGTATTTTAACAAAAAGTTTACATTTTTATGAAGATGGATTCATATCTTTTTAGGAAGTTGGTACATTTGAAAGGTCATTTATTTGAGTTTTTTAAAAACGCTGGTAAAATAGTTATTAATTTACTTCAATAGTTAAATGTTCTCATTTTTAATTTATAAAAAAAAATAAAAATAAAAACTCACCACTTTTGCATGCATTAATTAAGTAAAAAAAATCTCACCGCGTTGATAAATTAGTTTATTTTAATAGGTAAAACTATTTTATATTATCAAAGCATATTCGATAGGTGTATGTTTATTTTATATTCATTAAGTTCGGCTTGTTTTTGTTGAAGTTTAAGGTATAATTCAAGGGTTGTAACTTATTATTATGGGTTGGTAATCGGTTACAGCAAGGTCTAATATGCATTCCAGTAGTAGGGAATTGGAGTTTTCAAAGGCGTAACTGGTTACCACTATAGGTGAATTAATTTCAAAATTATATTGTGTCAAGTGTTACCGGTTATCCACTTTGGTGTAATTAGTTACAAGTCCGATGTTTTTTCTGCTACTATACTTAGTCAAAGTGTATTGCAATCACTGTGTAATCTCTATATAAGTGTGTAGGGTGCACTCTCACTCTCCACTTCCAAAGTTTTTCAACTTAGTTTCAACAATATTGTGGTTGCTTGTCCCAACATTTGATATCAATAGCCTGGTTTCGATCCACAAACACCTAATGTGCAACATGAATTATGTCTTCAGTCAAATAATCCCTACTAATTTACCCATCTTTGATACGAAGAACTACGACAAATGGTGCACTAGTGCATAAAGCGTCATTTACACCCGTTTTTTTTAACATTTAACACCCGTTATTGTGTGAATTCAACGGGTGAGAAATGTCTGGCAAATTTACACCCTTAAAACGGGTGTAAAGTAGATGTTATATTACAAACTTTTTTGTTGAAAACGGGAGTAAATATATTTCATATTACACCTTTTTTTTTTATAAAAAATGGGTGTAAATTTTTATATATATACATTTATAGATTATATATTACACCCTTTTTTGTTTAATACGAGTGTATATATACATATTCCATATTACACCCTTTTTTTTTTATAGAAAACGGGTGTAAATATTTAAATAAATGCATTTAAATTAAACGAATTTACACTCCATGTGATAAAGTCGGGTGTAAAATGAGCAACATTTACTATAGACGTTGGCAAGTTTACATTCTATTTTCTTTAAATAGGGCGTAAAAATACGGTATATTACACCTGATTTTACTATGTAAGTTGGCATGTTTATATCCTATTTTCTTTAAATAGAACATGTTTGTTTTAGTTTCATGATTATATTATATTTAATTTGATTTATCCTATTTCATTTAATCAAATATTGTATACATGTCAACAAACATATCATAACATCATCGTATATGTAAGTTATATAAAATCATATTATCTAATAGCATAAAGTCGTACGTCAAAATCATATTAACAAAAACTATCTATATATAATTTTTCCTCCTTCACTTTGGTTTTCACAATATTTGTATGTCAAAGCACAACCAAAATAAACATATCTGAACATCATCATCATCATCATCATATATATATATATATATATATATATATATATATATATATATATATATATATATATATATATATATATATATATATATATATATATATATATATATATATATATATATATATATATATATATATATATATATATATATATATATATATATATATATATATATAAGTCTTATCAAATCATATTATCTAATAGCATATAGTCGTACATCAAAATCATATTAACAAAAACTATTTATATATAATTTTTCCTCCTTGGCTTTGGTTTGACAATATTTGTATGTGTTTTTGGTCCTCATACTCTTCAGCCATTTGCATTTGCTCTTGAACCTTTTGGTATTCAACCATTTCCAAAAAACATTGAGCCCAAAGTTGTCACACGTGGTCAATTGTCTCTTTTTCATATGATGAGGTGTCTGTGAATATCTACAGGTTTACGGATAATAAGTTAAAGAACTACATATTAAAACAATAATTTACATGTTTTTAAATAAATACATGCAATACGAAAATATTTTAACTTATCCTACTGCATAGAATTTTTCAGCAATAGAAGCATCAATGATGTTAAACATAGTCTTCATGACACAATATCCACATGCTTATATGTTATCTTGACAATGTGCCTACATATAAAATCTTAGTTACAATAAGACATCAAAAAAAGTATGATAACTGTCAGAAAAGTATAATATTATCATTATAAGTAGCCATGAAATGAGGCAATTAAGCGCACAATCACATCTTATAACACCAAATGCAGTTATATTATTCTTACTATTTGTTGCGGTGAGAATCAAATATTAAGCTATTGAATTAACTTAAATCATAAATCTTTAAAATTCACCACGAAGCTTTGATTTATCCAAAGGAAAGGATAAAGATCGAAAGAAATCCCTAAGTACGCTATGTAACAACAAAGCTAAGAAAATCTAAGTTTCAGAAGTTGGTTATACCTAGGAAAGGTGTTAGCATCCTAAGCATCTGTAGTACTATACAAGAACCTCTTATTTGTATTTGTGTTATGTTATTGTTTTCTTGCTAAGGAAAATGTGTTAAGGGAAAGACCTAAGGGTTTATTTACTAAGTATGCTCGCTAAGACATCATATCTCGTGCCTACGTATCAAAACTAGGATGGAATCAGAGTATTTGTAGTTCACCTTAAAGGATGGGGAACTCTTGACTATGGTCAATGTTCCAAAGGGAAGGTAAGTGTCTATGGTAAGACACCTACATATAGTTAAGAAAATATAAACCTAAGGCTAGGTTAAAAAGGGGAGGTAAATGTCCATGGCAAGACACTTACATATATAGTGCGATGACTTTAATCCTAGGGCTAGGAAAAACGATTAAGACTCTAATAAGTGAAGGTAGGAAAAACACTTAGAAGGGGGTGGGTTGAATAAGGGTTTTAAAACAATTAAGATGATAGAAAAAATAACAAGTTATTTTTATCTTGGTTCGTTTGAACTTAAACTAATCCAGTCCACCCTACCAAGGTGATTTGCCTTTCTCAACAAGGACTTAATCCACTAAATCAAACTGATTACAGTGTTAACCACTAAAGCAACTGTCTTAGTCTTCTCAAGAATTCTGACCACATTTGGTCTCTTAAGGAATCTTTTACAAAAGATAAACTAACAATGTGTTTAAGATTTGCTTCTAAAAAGCTATATCACAACAGCGATTTTTACACAAGTTAAAGAACGAAATAAAACTATTCAGCTAGAAGAAAGTTTGCTTGAGTTGCTTGTTGAATAATTTGTCAATAATTTGTTTGAAGTTCGTTTCAAGTTCGTTAACCTTTGAAGTGATGCTGAGATTTGCTTTTATAGTACTTTGAAATCCATTTCTCAAAGACTGTGCAACCTATGCATTCTGTTCTTTTTGTCTTCTATTGACTTTTCTTTTCTCAGAAGAGGAATGTTCTGACAAATCCTTTTTGTCTGAAATCCTGTGTCATGCACGAATGAGGAAAGAGCCATTTGGATAATGACAAGGAATATGCCAACAGATCTTTATTTGAACAGCATCTTCATCAACAACTTTGGAACATCTTGCGTCAGAACTTCTGATGATGTTCCAAGTTCTTCAGATCAAAGTTAACTCAATTAGAGTTTCTCTATCAGAGTTTGCAACAAAGTGCTTTAAGCGTAAAGTTCTTATCAAAGCATACTTGCTTATTAGAGCTTCTGTACTTGCAGCGTTAAGTACTTCAGAGTCTTCTGAAGCTTTACGTATGTTCTTTACTCAAGTTCTTCTCAGCTTTGCTCAGAGTCATTGTAGCAGATCAGAGTCTTCTGATGTGTTGCTTCTGACGTTCAGAGCTTTTTTGTTCTGTAGTGTTCAGAGGCGTTCTTGCTTCCAGAATAAAATTAATTTTGGTATCTGAAACAAATAACACTTGAACAAAATTAGAGTATATAAATTCTTTATACAAAATTTCATTAATGTTATCATCAAAACAATGAGATATATTAAACACCAATCTGTGTTCTAACAATCTCC